TGACAAATCAACTACTTCCTGAATTTAAGGCAGTTTCTTTGGCTGTGTCCAAATGTCCGCCCTAATCACTATATAGGGCACTATATAGTGATTACACCATTTTAAATGAGTTTCAGATCGTCTAGTGCAGGGGTCTTAGACGTTTTCCAGGCCAAGGACCCCCAAACTGATGGCGAGATGGAGCGGGGACCCCCTAATTACATATATTGTATGAAATTGTGTTATATCAAAGTGGTCCTATAGTCACTCTATTAAAGATGGAGTCATTTCACCCTGGGATTATTAAAGTATTTCTGATTCTGATTCCTGGTTGATGGGACAGGTGTTGTGAATGAAACGGTGCCCAGCTTGAAAGAGCTCCTGTGTGTCGCTGAATGTGTGCATTGATGACTGAAAGACATCTTCTGCCTCCATTTATCTGTTTACTACAGTGTGTTGAATTCATGTTAATGTTTATTTAATGACATTTCAGTTAGTGGAAAAAATTGCAGGGGGAAATATAAAAAAAAAACTCTTCGACCAAAAGTTTCACAACCCCCATGCAGTACCTCCGTGGACCCCCTAGGGGTCTCGGACCCCCTGTTGAAAACCTCTGGTCTAGTGGATGAAAAAGCAGTGGACTTGAATGTTCCGGCTTTGTTTCCCGGCCCGGGGTCTTTCTGCATGGAGTTTGCATGTTCTCCCAGTGCATGCAGGGTTTCTCTCGTGGTACTCAGGATTTCTTCAACATCCAAGAACATGACTGATAGGTTAATTTGCTTCTCTTAATTGTATTTAGGGGTGTGCATGGTTGTTTTTCTTTGTATGTCGACCTGTGTACCCCCGCCTTTTGCCCATAGACTGCCAAAGATTGGGACCGGCTCCACTAAGAACCAGATGGAATAAACAGAAGAATATGGATGGATGGATGGATGGATGGATGGATGGATGGATGGATGGATGGATGGATGGATGGATGGATGGATGGATGGATGGATGGATNATGGATGGATGGATGGATGGATGGATGGATGGACTAGTTCACTGGTTGAATGGTAGTGGGTATTCAATTTCAGAACAATCACCTGCCAACAGCTGAAGAATGATTTCGTTGGTAGGTAGGACCTGTGTATCGTCTCATGGGGTTTTAGGGATTCTTGTCTGACTGTGCAGTTGTTTTCTGTAATGCTGTTATCAATGTGCTCTCACCAGTATCAAGTTCTATTAAATACCTGTTTGTGTTATGCTGCTAATGTGAGGATGAAAAACGTCTGGATGTATGTGATGGATTGTGAGGCAAAACAATTGCACTCATAAAGATAACTTTCTGAATATAAAGGACATCTATACCCGCTCTGAGAACCCTATCCCTATAAATATGCAGTTCTCTGTGAATTAATGTTGCTCATTTTTAACTATATCCTCATCAGTAGGACATGCTTTGTTTGTGTTTTTAACCCCTATTGTATTGATTTTCTTTTTATTGTTTGCACAAAACTACGACCAAACTCTGCTGACTGAATCAGGGGGAAAAAACATGATTGGCTTTAAGGAGAGTGGAGACACTGAGTTTACTGAACAAAACCTGCTAGCAGCCAGGTTAGGTCTGGGGAGAATGTTACGACGGCAACAGAAAAATGGGTTGAGTAAACTCTCTTCATGAAACAGAAAAGTCTGAGTTTCCCTGATATCACGTTAACAAACTTCAAGTTTTTATTAAAGCTTCTTCGTGAAACGGACCTGAGGAGTGCACACCAGCAAAGGACACACCTGGTCCCCCGGTTAGGCCATGTGGCTACAGACCAAGGCTAAGCTTTTCTGAACTTTGGAGACGCCTCAGCCTTTCAAATGGAAATCAGAGGTTACAGGTCTGGTAAGGTTAGGGAAAGCATTTGGAGCGAAACAATTTGGGAGTTTGGGTGATTTCTAATTTCTTCCATGTTTTTAACTGTTAATGTAAGCCACAAAATTCATGTTGACTATAGGGTAGGCAACCACATGCAAATATGTTATGGGCTGCTGTTCATAAAGTTAAGACACATTTCATTTCAGTAAGAGTTTTAACACTAATTAAAACCTTAATCAAATACTAATTTGACCTCATTCAAAACTCTTTACGATCAATATTGGTTCTCAAACATGACATTTATGTCAAACTGTGGTGTCATTGCTTTATTTCACTGAAAATAGTTTCCAACTATTTTCATTTGCTTTTCCTTATATGTACAAAGTAGCTCATTAGTTTAGTTTGGTCTTAGTAGGTTTAGTCAAGAGGTCTCAGCCATAATTTTTGTCCCCTAACAAACTGAGATTAAATATCACAAAGCTGGACTCTGTTTAATAATCAGATGAATTATCAGGACTTCAGTTTGCACTGAATTTTAAGTAAGACTGTCAGCTTAAAATTATTCAGTTAAGTGTCTGCCTTTAAAACTGTGTTCTTTTTGCTCTGCTTTTACAATACCGCTTAGCATAAAATCCTAATAAAATACTTGGAAGTTTGTAGTCATTATGCGATAAAATGGGAATATGTTTAATAGATAAAAACACTTTCAAATAGCACTTTTAACAGTGGGGTTAAATTGATCTTTTACTACTACTCACTTAACTTGTAATTAGTAATATGTTGTATTATTACAAGGTCTCAAAGGGAAAAGCCCTGATTCTAGAGCTACATCTGATAAAACAATTGAGTCAAATTTGAATAACGATAAAGCCATTTGTCATTCTTAATGTTTGATCAGCCTTGTGACTTAGGGGAATGCAGAGGTTCTGCTGAGTCGGCTGAAATAAAGGCAGAGTCAGAAAAGCTTCTGCTCTGCACACACTGGACAAATTACTACAACGTATAAAAGATTGACCAGGAGGAAATACAGAGAAGATACGGTTTAGAATTAGAATAAAATTTTCTGAATGTTGCAAGAGTAAACAATAAAGGAATCAGGAATCTTTATCAGTCAATGGAAACTAAACATTTCCCTGTGCAGCTAACCTGGCACACGAGTGACATGTAAATTGGTTAAGACAACACCTACATATCTTCTTTACCTGTACGGAACATTTGATCATTTTAACAAACAATCAACCAAACTAGAACCAAATATTATGAAAAACTATCTTTATTTTAGATTTTCGTATAATTATCTTAACATACAGCCAAAAGGAAGATTTCAGGAAACAAACACTGCTTAGAGGAACATCATCTGATATGCATGAAAAACAAAAGATGGAGTTTTTTTTTTAAATGAGAGAAGGCTGTTATAATGTATCTTAGCAACACTACAATGAATAAAAATCTAATGTAGGCTGCAAAACTCTTGATTAGGCTTTATTAGGAAGGACTGAATGTTACACCTCTGCAGTAGGGTTAAAAAAGACAAATGTTATTTTGAGTTAAATAATAATGAAAAAAAAAAATCTACAGTTTTGTAAGCGGAGACCATTTTAAAAGTACTTAGAAAAATCTCAACTAACGCATTAGTTAATGTACTTCAATACTAACCATATTTTATCAAATTTAAGATTATCTGTACAGGCTTTCTGTGTTTCATGTGTGTAAACTATGCTGACATGGTAAAAAAAAATAATAATTTCATGTTTCAATTTCAGAGAAAATGACTGGATATCAACTGCATCAATATGCAGTTTATGCAGCTGCCATTATAGGCTTCTACAGCTGCAAAATTTAAAAAGAAAACAGGAAAATATAAAAAGATTTTGGTAAGAAAAAAGCTCAGATGTTTGCCAACAACATCAAAGTAGAGTTACATTAAGCTGAAACACATTCACTTCTCTCTAAACCAAAGCCAGGCCAAACCAAACATCAGTGAAAAGAATAAAAAATATGACAGCACTTTCTATTGCTTTTCTTGACAGGCAACAATTACAACAAAGGCTGAGAAAACGGCATTAATGAAGAAAAAAAAAAAATGAAGTTCAATTTTCTTTTAGTACAATAACACTAAAACCAGTTTAAACCAGAGTTAAACCCAGGTTTAAACCCCTGAAAGCTTATTTTTCCCACCAACACTTTCTCCCTATGTGTAACTGGGAGTTTGGACAGACAATGTAATGTGATTTTATTGCTTTTTTAAAAACATAAAGCAACACATTATCCTACTAGTGCTGAACATATATATTACTGTGTGATAATAAATGAAATTATAGTAAAATCAGTGGGGAAATAAAGAGGGATTCTAATCTCTCTACTTCAAATGTTAGTACTGAGTTGTTTTAACAAGATTAACTTGTTTCCTTGGCATTACTTAGAGGTCAGAGTCACTGGCTTTTTTCCTGATTTTACCTTAATAGATAACTCTTCAACTAAAAATGAACACTTTGAACCTGTTAAATATTCTAATAACGTGTGTTTAGTGATTTTAAAGCAAATAAAAAAACCCAGATCAGCACCTGGTAAATTCTGTTTTTACCTCTGTTCCTGTCTGTGGCTGTAGGGTTTACCACAATCACAGCCAACTTCTTTACGTGATCTGACCAATCTTTGAAAAGTAAAGGTGTTAGAAGATTACTGCTTTAAAAAACTAAAAGCACATGTTTTAATTACTTGTTTATTCTCTACTAGGAGTTGTTTGTTTACAGGAAAATATACCAGAGTAGATGCTTCCCTTCAGAAGTCAGCATCACAGAATCGAGAGATAAAGTGGTTGGAATAACATCACTAAAGACTGAACATTTTGTAGGTGTCTGTCAGCTTTTGGAGCTGCGTGTTGTGGGAAGTTAGGTTGCTGCAGTGACTGCTTAAAGCTCACTGCAGAGTGTGGGTCTGTGTTTTAAAATGCTGACACTGCTGTGTTGTACAGCTCAGTGTAAACAGGAGGAGCAGCAAAATGTTGTCCTATCAAGAATCAACACTAACCTTACTTTAAAATTGGATTTATACAATATCTGAAACCTTGTTTTCCAGTATATTTTAACTAACCGAAGATTAAACACAGGGACTTAATACATTGATGCTATTCTAAAGAAATCATTAAACATTAGAAGGGTTTTGTGTTTTTTTAAATCATCAAAGATAGGTACCGCAGCCTGAACCGAGCCTATAATAAAATAATCACAGTGTTAAGAGGCAGACAGAAAAATACTGTCATCAGAAAGTCTGTATATTTCCTCCTATGAAATGATTAGAAGTTTATACGTGTGGAAATAAAACATCCTAAAACCACTAAACAAGCTAACACCTTCTGCACACTGAAAAGCTCCACGTCTAGGCACCATGAAAGACCGAGCAAATCAGCTCTACTTCTTTATAGTGTAATGCAATGTTCAAGTTTCATCTTCATAAAAGCCTGAGCTAAAATGAAATACTGCAGGTCAGCCTGCTTGGGATGCAACCGTGACACGTGGTTAGTTACATAAACACCACAGTATGTCGGGGCTCTTACAGAGAATAAGGAGTAAATGCAGCTACAATACTCTGTCCTCAGCACTCCCCACTCAAGCCCATGCATAATGGTCTGTGTCGACACCAGCTTTAGCTTCAGAGCTGCTGAGGTTTAGTAAAACTGACCCCTAATGCCTGTCAGGATGCTACATTCCCTTCAGTAAGAGTTAGAATGAATTAAGTGGATAAAAAGCCGACCATTGTTCCCAAACAGCAGAAAAAGTCTGTTTTGAACACTCAGATGAGCGCTCCCATTGATGGTAAAGTGCGTTCCCTGTAGCTTGTTTCATAGTTAGAATTACAGTATAGCTGAATTTGCAGGGTTACAACGTAAACACGATTCGGTTACAAAACTACTATAAAAAATTAGCGTCTGATGAGAAGATTACTCAGGGTGGCGTTTTTTGTTTTAGAGAGCCGAGCATGCATGATATTCTCTCCCACATGTGTGCGTTAATCTGTTCGTGTGCATTGATGTATATTTACTGTAAATATGAGCACACAAACAAACACACGCATTGAGGAGGCGTTTCCCGCCTCGGAGAGAGATCACGACTCCACTCTACAGGAAACATAAGGCGACAGGAAAAGGAACGTGGCTCAACTCTGCAGGATGTTTCATTACTCTTCCTCCTCCTCCTCATCGTCGTCCTCGTCGTGGCAGTGGGTGATCTCCTGAGGAGTCTGGGGGAAGAGGTTGGGAGGCTTGATCTCACTGAAGGAGCGGGTCAGGTGATTGCGTTTGCACTCCAGGTCCTTGCAATCGTTGCACTGGGAGCGGTTACGAGTGGCCAGGGGCGACTCCAGGTCGATGTCCACGTGGGCGTGTTCAACCGTCGACTCATGAGGCATCTTAGGAACATCAGACACACATATATAGTTAATGGAAACTAAAAAAGGTCAGCTGTTTTCATACATATAAAGACAGTTTTTATTAATATATAATAAATAATATATATAATAAACTTTTTGAAGAGTTTCAGTCTGGCTTTAGAGCTCATCATAGCACTGAAACAGCTCTGGTGAAAGTCGCTAATAATATTATCATGGCCTCAGATAATGGACTTGTATCTGTAATTGTGCGCTTAGATCTCAGTGCTGCATTTGATACAGTTGATCATATCAATATTATTTTAGAAAGACTTGAATATTTTGTAGTAATTAAAGGAACAGCTCTAGACTGGTTTAAATGTTGTTTATCTGATCGATTTCAGTTACCTCAATGATCAGAGCTATGACCATTTCTCTTTACTATATATATGCTATATATGCTCTCAACAGGTAGAATTATTAGACAACATGGGATTCATTTTCACTGTTATGCTGTTAACCATGCTAGCAGCAGGCACAACAGAATACAAATGTCCTGAATGCAAACATTTTGACATTTATTTGCTGCATTAAAGCTGCCGAACGAGTAAAAAGTCTGATCTCAACTCCTGAAATAAAGAGCTGAAGAAACCCGATCTTTCAGTAGAAGCTCTTACTGCTGTGAACTAACAAGCTAACATGAGCTAGCATTTTTTTTCGTCCCTATATATGTATAGGTTTACAGTTTTTCCAAAACATTTAATGGGCTTATAGTGAGTTGCACTTTATAGTCCAGAATATACGGTATTTGATATATTTTCATAAAATGTCCACATAGCGGAAGATATTTAACTAATCAAAACAGTTTTTCTATTGAATGTAGTGTCTAAGGATGGAGCAGAGTAAATAAAATACCAACTTTAACAACACAGCCCTATGTTATCTTCTCATCACATATTATCCATTGGTGATTTAATTTGGTCAAAGCTGTGCAGAATAAAATAAGAACCTTGTGGAAATAAAGAAGAAATCAAAAACTAATAAGAAGCGTCACTGTAAAATAAAAGTTGTTGCAGCTTATTGCTATTAGTACAGATGACAAAACCTAAAAATGTCAAGACAAATCCTTAAATCCTCCTCTGATGGTGATAAACTCACCAGGACGTGTGCGGCTCTGAACAGGTAGCTGAAGGGGTAATACAGCAGGTTGATGAAGGAGGCGGCATACAGGTCAGCGTAACGCATCACCTGGGAGGCAAAGAGAGTCTGTCTGGAGCCGCTGCGGAAAAGGCTACCCATCATGCCGTAGCACATGTCCATGTCATGCGTGACTTTCTGAGGGAGGAAAGTTGAGAGAAACAGAAATGCTTTACTAATATAAGAATCAAAGAAATTAGTCAAACTATATATATATATATATATATATATATATATATATAGCTGCATGGAGTGTCAATGAGATGGGGGGCTTTTAATTTCAGATGCCGTAAAACTCTCCAAACAGGCTGTAGGTCCAGATAGCGGTAAAGACAAGGGAACAGGTGCGGGATAAACAGTGACAGAGGCTGTACCTTGACTCTTCTCTGAATGGTGCTGATATCAGGCCTCTCGTTGCTGCTGCTGTCCAGATGTCTGTGGAAAGACGAGGGGGGGGGGAGATGATTAGGACAGGCTGAAGGGATGGGGAGGGCACACATATCAGTTTGCTAAAATGTAGGAAGTCAAAGGGGTGGTGTAACAGCGAGCTGTGGCAGGCTATAAATACACTTTCAGTGAATCCAGTTATCGGGTGGCCTGCATGAGGCGACCCCTCCAGACTTCACCCTATTGACCCTGTTGTTCTTTCAGCCTGCATGCCTTCAAACAGGCAGCAGGGAGCAAAGTACAGCAGAGTCGATGATGTCAGGACAAGAGGAGTGGGACGGCGAAAAGAGAGGAGGGGGAGGAAATCAGTCCAAAAGGGGGCAGCTCTTACTTGTAAAGCTCTGCCAAGAAAATGTCCAAGCCCTGAAGTTCCTCGAATAGTGCTGGAAAACATCAAAGAGCGAAATGAGGGGTCAATTTTTCATTTCCAGTGTCAGCCCTTCCGCTTCAGCCACATCATCCTGTTTTCATGTAATCAGTAGTCTTTTAATGGAAACTTCATCATCTATTCCTTAATATTGTTAATATATATTATTATATTATATAAATATATTCTTAATATATTGATAACATAAAACAAAAAACAACATGGCCTCTAAACTGGAGACAATGCACAGCAAATGCAGAAGGAAACCTGATGCTCCTTCAGTTTCTTTCTCTATGCATCTACTCCATGAGAAATAAGTAATTTAGGCTTCACATGTGACTTTCTTTTGAGTTTATTTAACACTTTACAATGTAAAGAGTTTTTTGTTATGACATTAAGGGTTAATTAAGATGAACAAAAAGCCTGGAAAAACAAAGAAACCCAAATAATGCTATCTCCTTAAGTTTGGTCCTTAAGACACAGAAGCAGGCTAGTAAAGCTGTCAGCTGGCCTGGGTATATATGAAAGGTTAACATCTTCTTTTATAAAAGCATCGTTATTTTTCAGATTTTCTAAAATAGCCACATAAAAACCCTTTAAAGTTCAAACTCTGCCCATAAAAATAAAATCACACCATCAAACTGCCAGAAGAAATTACTTTTAAACTGGCACCAATCCTTTCATACATATTCGATCATTTTTCTCCCCTTTACAATACCAAGTTTCTGTCTACACACAATTGTAGTTTTTTTCCCTAAAATCACTTTAAATTGTTAACTTTAAATATACTACAAGTAAATCTGAATATTTATCTGTGATCTAAACAAACTCCACACATCTTGAACAGAACATGAACAGGTGGGAGGAAAAAAAATAGAATAAAAAGGAGGGGGCACTACTACACTCTGTTAAACCTTTATTATGCAACGTTTCAGCCACAGACCGTCGTCAAATCTGTAACTGCTTATTTGTATTTTTCCCAGCCATGTTTGAATTAATTAAGATGAAACGTAAAAGCTTCAGGAACAACATTATTAACTTTTTTTACTTAGCGCTAATAAGTGCCTACATACAGTTTTCTACTTTGGAGCAAGTTTTATAAATACAGAAAAGACATCTTTGGTTTTAAGGATCAATGATCTGCAAGTCAATGTAAAGTAGATTTCTATCATCTAAAACTTTCTGGGTTGTCCGAGTCTTGTGTTGACAAAAAGCCGCTGAAACCTCTGGTTGTTTTCAGGTTGCACAGGTATCTTGGCACTTCAGTTGTGTTACACAAGCCAGATTGTATCTTATATTTAGGTTTTCATGGTACCGAGGACAAAACGTGAGAAAAAAAATAGCTGAATATGGACTTTTCTTTTTCATCAGAGTTTTGTCAATGTTTGTCTTCAGACTCACAGCTTTTGTCGGTCCACACGTGCAGCTCCTGGGCCAGCTCTGGGATAACCAGGAACGTTCTCCATCCCTGACGCTTCTTAGACTTGAGGATGTCTCCAAATATATGGTCCCCGATGTACAAAATGTCCTTCCCTTTGGCCCCCAGAAGGTCACACACAATGTCTGAGGAGCCTTGGAGTAGATATATGCTCATTAGTTACATAGAAGGATTGCTTTTATTGTAAAAAAAAAAAAATAAAATAAGGGAAAAAGAAGTAAAACTGAAAAAGTGAAGGGGTGTAAGGCTCACCTCCCGAGTACACGATCCCATGCTGCAGAGGTCCTGTGTAGGTGCCTATCTTTAAGCGTCCTGTGGTCTGGATTAAAAAAATAAATGAAATAAAAATAGCAGAAATAACTGAAAGTGTATCTGTAAATTGACTATCACCAGCTTGAAATCAGTTTGTACTTTCATATTTAATGGCTGCACAGATTTCTCTCACATTTTGACCAAAATGTTTTAAATCTATTCAATTAAACCTGCTCAATCATCCAAACTCTGAGGAAGTAATATGGCATGGCTTTAACTTTCAAAATCTCCCACACAACAGCAACCAAAAGAGTTTCTGTCCTGCTCACCGTGTCGACCTGTCTGAGGACGGTTCCCTCCCCGAAGAAGAGAGGCTTTCTGGCATCCACCAAGATCAAGTCAAAGTAAGACTGCCAGGGCCGGTGAGAAGTACCAGGCTAAAGAAGGTAAGAATCCAAAAGAGCAAAAGTAAAGAGTTACACATAAAGGTGCAATAATGTTTTGCGTTTTCACGGTTTATCTGCAACTTCATCTAAATGATCTCACCTTGGGGCCATGAGGGAAGTCAAACAGGTAACTCATAATTTTCTGTGACAAAAGAGATTTAAAAACAAAAAAAAACATTACAATTTAAACATTTTTTGTCATTCATCTTTTTGTGTTTGCCTAAAAAGTTCACAGTTGGTCTGTACTAACATCTGTGTATTTGTAGTCGCTGTTAGTAGCCAGGAAAACTTTGGCTACTTCATTCATTCGGCTCAGGAGAAGTGGGAGTTTCCCCTGATGGGAAAAAGAAGAGGAAAGAAGCTTAGTTATCTTCACAAAGAATGAGATACAAAATGTGTTCTCTCTACCCAGAGGATATGTGCAGAGTACAAAATACTCACATCTTTCACCACATACTTCTCCAGGTTCTCTACCGTTTTCTCCTTCAGGGTTCCCTGCAAAGAAAACATAGGACACAAATTAGACACTACAAGTGATGATAACTGAAAAAAAAAAAAAATATCAAAGAAACACATCTCATCAAGTAGATGAGATGTGGATTCTGTTGATTCAGGTGACTGTACAAATGTGAATTTGAACCTCTGGGGGGGAGCTGCTAAGGATCCATAGGCAGTTCTGTTTACTTTTTTTAAGCACCTGAAGAGATTTATCTGAATTAACTATCTGTGCAAATTCTCGGTCATCCAGGTCTACCAGCAGACTCTCTGATAGGTGTCAAAATGTTTACAGAAAAACTAAGCGAAAGTCCAGTGATGGTAAGTTTAGGCCACGACTTATCTATCTCTTGGCTACGCCTTACTAAGTTGTGGCCACAACTTAACATCTTCAAAAAAAAAATTCTGCCCACGTCACCAGAGGGGCTCCGTACTAGACATCCCACAATGACCACATTTAAGCATAATCTTTACATTTCTCAACCCCCCACCGAAGAAAAAAAAAAAAGAAAGTCTGTTTTATGGATACATTCATTATTTGAATTATCTTTAAGACAAAATAAAATAATAATAAAACATTTTTATTATGAAAAGAAATGTATCACTATAACTGTAAACGGTACGTTAAACATCCTTCGCTACTCTGCATAAACAGCTGAGAAGTGCTGTCATAGAATACAACACTTAAGGTAAAGTGGAGGATGTTCTTTTTCAGGGTGGATCATCTAAATAAGTGGTCCTCCTAATTGTTTACCATTCTGGTGATAGGTTTATATAAGTCCATCCTAATTGCTCGTCCCCATTTTCATTTACCGGTGGTGAGTCTGACATAGTGGAAAAATAGCAAATCTTCTTTTGGAAAGTAAGCTTGTATGAGTGATGCACACAGCAACTTTTAAACAGAGCTCTCACGCGCTTTTAATACAGTAGGTGTTCCCTCTCAGGAGTGGGTACAGTGTTGTGCATCTGCATTTTCTTTTTTTTTTTTTTTAAAGAGTGGATAGAAATTTCACAAAAAATCCTGCACTATACCTTTGAGTGTTATCTGGTTAGTTTTAATAATGGAAAAACACACTGAGAATATTTGCAAAAAATTTTTTTGAATGTGTATTTTTGATGCACCAACACATTCTTGGCCATTTATTTAAATAAGACAAATCCTCTAGCCTGATAAACCAGACTAAATGGGAGATGAAAGGTGTTATCCATCAACTCGTAGGCAAAAATTATTTTGGCCGCTGGCGGGTGGGGCTCGTTTACTAGGCTACAAATCCTCTTATTTCTGCTACTTTTCACAATGAGACTATTATGAAATCCTATTTTGATCAGTAGTTTTCTTTTCATTGACTATTTCTCATCAGATCATATATGAAGACTTCGACACTTATTCATCAATACCTTACATGGTTTAACAAATAAAAAAGGAGCTCCTTCAAATCGACATACAAGATAGTAAAGGGTTAACAGGATGAAAATAACTTTTCTAAGGCATCTACAGAAATCTTTATGTAGAGTTCAAATTTACCTAAATAACCCTAAAGACCTTCTATGATCGTGTTTATTCAAATAGAATAAACACGATCATATTAACTTCAGGTATGATTTATGTGAGAGAGAAAAATCACAACAACAACAACAAGAACAAACTGCAGTTGTTTTGGTTTTACCTTGAAGTGAACCCAGTCCACCGCGTCCCGGACGTCCTGGAACATGCTCTTGTAGGACATGAAGAGGTCCCCATTTTTAAAGCCCGATTCACAGCTGGGAAAATGGAGGAGAGAGAGACACGCGCACAGCCGTCGGACAGGCCATATATTTACAGAGGGTCTTTGAAAACATTACATTTGTTTCTTTTTGTTTGCTTTTAAATGGGATAGCCTTCCCTTGTTGGAGGGTCCCCAGCCAAACAGGAAAGCAATCTCCCCCTAAAAGACCAACAACCAGGTTTCAGAGGACAAAGGACATGCAGCCATTCCAGATTACATCCACAAAAAAATTAAAGATAAATTACAGGCCATTAATCCTCTTTTACAGAAGGGATAAAAAAATGATTATTGAAGATTATTTTGCTTTATTTTATGTGGACAGTTAGTAAGATTTCCTTTAACTGCTATTAATCTTTTAAAGGATCCATGCTTGTTTATCATCTGATATTAATGTTGTAATTCTATTAAGAATAAACAGGTCTGACTGAAGTCCAAGGGGATTAGCCTTTAATTGGAATAAGCTGATATTAGCCTTTAGGACACCAGGACGCTCCCATGCTTTAGGGCAGTTGCTTTTCCCCCTGAGTGGCTTGCAAATGTCTTTATGTCAACATGCAGAACTTGTGCTGTTACATGAGATGTAATCTAAAAGGAAGATTCTTACCTTGTGTATCTGTCACAGTTTGAGAAAAAATCCACAAGACAAGCAAAAAGGTAGGTTTCTTTAAAAAAAAAAAAAAGAAGAAGAAAATTAGGTGAGGCCGAGTTTTTAGGATGAGAAATAATCTGGGGACAGTTTCCTTGACCCTCACCTGGAAGGTTGAAGAGTGTGTTAAGGATATAAAAACGCTCTGTGTCATCCCGCTGGATAAACTTGTTCGGATATCGTTCACGTATATCAGGGCTGGAAGGGGTACAAGGAGAGAAGAGAAAGCTCACAATCCTATTTTTTGTAACTGAAATAGAGATTTTAAACGAAGAGCATCAAAACCAGCTTACCCTCGAAAGAAATTAAATCCATGGGCACAGACCAGGATATTACCATAAGCGTCAACCTTCAGCAAGTTTCCATACATGGTATCAAACACAAGGCCTCTGAAAAGAAGAGGAAAATGATATTAAAATCCTCCCACAGAGGTATTGCCTTTCAACCTTATTGGCTCATTGTTATCCTCTCGAAATGCAAAGAAGCTTCCCCGCCCAAACCATCACATTACTCAACATTCTATGGGATTAGAAATTTGAAAAAGATAAGGTGTGTGATGACTGCTATTGAAAATGGAATTTCATGACGTCTGGAAATCGTTTGACATTCTTTGTTAAAACGTCGACTCATGTTTAAGTTTAATGGGATTTTTCTCTCACATGATTCTTGTGATTCTATCAGTCCTCATGTGTTTTTAAATGGATTTTCTACTTGTTTGAAAACTCATTACGAACCTTTTTTGTGTGTGCGTTTTTTTTTTTTTTTTAAGGGGTGTTTACCTATTTATTTTCCATAAAGGCTCATTAAATATATTACAAATCCAAAATCATTCACATTGCTTTAACTTGTTTCTACATTTCTGGCTTTGGAGTCAAAAGTTTTAAGGAACTTTATAACAATGTTTTTTTAATGATAGACCAACAAACAGTAGTAAATAATTGTGAACATTTATATTTGTAGAAAACTATTTATGATTTTACTTCCATTTCTCAATCATGAGCTACTTTGAGTATCTATCTCAAATTAAAGTAAAACATTTACATGTTTTTGTTATAATGTGGCAAAATGTGAATTAATCTGAAGGACTACTGATACTTCAGACCGCACAGAGTTAGACGAAGCCGTCCGACTGACTTCATATTTAGTTTTTTGTTTTAAACCCTAATTCTCAGGTTTATCTTACAACCCATTCAGAGATTCAGAGGCTAAAAAGTGAAATGGATGAGCCGGAAAGAAAAAAAACTTTGCCATTAACCCCAAAAGCTAATGAAACATTTGAGGTTGTTCTCACCTGGTGGGAAATGATGGATCGTAGACGAAGCTGAGCAGCTCTTGGGGATAACCGATGGACACCAGCCGCTCCACCGTCAGCTCAAAGCCCAGCGCCTCGTACTCAGGCGACTTGTAGACTGAATATTAAAACACACAAACATTTAAACTTGGTTTGATATATTTGACCAAACATGCATTCTTATTACATAAAAAGAGGAAAATTTGTGTCAGACCTGCTCTCAGTAAGATCCATTCATGTTTCAATTTTATTTCTATTAAGCTATTAAGTGTTTTAGTTAAGTTGCTGTAAAATGTAAACCTTCATGTTAACATGGGTTTACTGTCTTGCATTGTTATCGCGTTTCATTTTGCAGATCAGTTACAAAAAACACATTTAACAATCCGGCCAGGATTTGTAGCCGTTTGGACTTTGATAAAGTCCAATCAAGGCTATATAAACCAACAAATGCTGCACAAACTATGCTACACCAGAAGGATGGTCTCAAGAAGAACAAACTTTAAAAGAAGATCCTGACCATGGCTAAAAGTTGTGGTAAAATACAGATTCCCAATCATTTCAGCTGTGTTTAGTCATTAACCTCTTGGTGGGGGAGAAAAAAGCCAGGAAAAACCAGATAAATGTTGTAAAAAAAATCTTGAGCATGGCCAAAGCTTTGCTAGGCAAAAAATTCCCCCACATTAGTTGTAGCTCGTGTAGTATGAAGCAAGGCTTCTGCGTCATTGCTTCCCATGACCCCTGTACACCCAGTTGACATGAACCTACCACCACTAGAGTAAAAAAAAGTCCCTTTTTCCCCCCATACTGATCTATACAGTAAAAAGTATCTTACTCACTTTTGTAAATGTAATGTTTCCAGGTTATACTTATTCACTTAGAACCAACTCTGGTATCAATATTTTGCTGACATTTTCTCCCTCTGTAGTTGTCCAACTATTCCCTCTTTTGCCACTTCCACCATGTAACGCCCAACTCCATAAAGAAAAATGATGAGTTGTGTGAATAATAAAGCTTTAAAGTTAAATTTGAGCTCTGGGGAGACCACTGAGCCTCCTGCTTGCCCGTAATCCATATTTAACCCAGACTCTGGAAATATAAACATGGGCTAAGAAAAGGCCGGTGCAAGACTAAAATGCTTTCTGAGGCTGGTGCGAAAAAAAGAACTTGTCAGATGTTATAAATACGCAAGTAAGAATGCACTCTGTGTTGTCGCCTAGTTTCTGTGCTCCCAGTGGGGTGTGGGGAAGACTTTGGGGAGGTGAACTGGTGGATGGCTCTTAAGGGGACAGAACAGCACTGCAGGAAAACATCTGCAGGGTTCTGTAGAAAGCATGCATGTGTAAAAAATGAACCAATGTGCAGGACAACTGGTTTAATTTATAAATTTTGCAAAAATCTCTGCCAAGACTGGCCAGTTTCTGCATTATAAACTTGCAGAGTGTCGCAATCCAGCCCCCCCTCCTCCTCCAAATGTTTTTCTCACAGTAAACTGAGGGTTTGGGCTCAATGCCCAGAGAGGCAGCCAACATCCCAGTCCACTCCTGCTTGCTCCCTTGTCATAATCTTGAACATCTGAGGTAGAAGAAAAATCTATTTTGAGAGTCGTTTTCCCCTCAGTCACCTATGCTCTCATCACTTTCTGCATTTAGTTCCTATTAAGCTGATGTTTCACCAAGTGTGCTAAGCTCAACTGGACAGGCCATCTACAATAACACCATTTTTGTTTTTTGGTTTTGGTTTGACAAAATCCAAGCTTGAAACTCAGCAAAAGTTTCTATTTAAAGGAGCCTCCAAAGAAAAGAGGCCCCAGATTCCTCAGCAGTAATGGAAAAAGAACTTGTTGGCAGCCTTCATAAACACTTGATGACAGTTGCTTCCGAGGATGGAATAAACCGTATTATTAGGTTTTGGGGAAAAAAACATTTTCATATGGAAACAGGTTATTTTGGATTGCCTTTTCCTTTGATGAATGAATCAACCAGTTGCAAACAGTATTGTTTTGCTATTTCGTATTTAATTAGGGGGGTTGTACAATTGAATTAGGTCACATACCCATCTTCAAAACTATTCAAACCACAGAGCACAGTAACTCAAGTCAACAAATGCTATTTTAGACCTTTAGAGGCCGAAGTGCTGAGTGATTAATAGAGCCGCTATCGTTACATCCTGAGCTGAGAATATGTTGACAGAACGTTTCAGATTTCTTTAAATAACGTATCCAGCAAAAACATTGTGTCATCCTAGTGGAAGCTGACTGTTGCATAATGTAGGTGTAGAGAGCTGCTATATCACTGTTCCTTGACATTCGTGCATTTCTGCAATCTCCAGATGTGGCCCTCTGCTCACATTGCTCCTGTTGTCATTAGATACTCAGAATCAGCTTCATGAATATGCCCGCTCGCATCCTTGATGGGATTATTGGCAGATAATTATACTCCCAGTGCTCCCATTGCTGAGCAGTTCATAGGCCAGGTCAGCTCAGGCCTGGATGTAACGTACACCCTTCACACAGAAAGCAAACAACCGGCACTGCTCTTCTAACAGATCACATAATCCAAGGCTCTATAACGGGGACACATTGACTGAACCATGTCACATAGCAGTCTATATTAAGGAGCTAACAATATGGGTCTTAATTTATCAGTTTCCATCACTGCACAAATGAACGGCTTTGCTTTAGAATAAGGACAGGGTGAGGCACAATGTGGAAAAATACGAGGACTCCAGCACTGCCTCGGGGGCTGACATTAAGCCCAAAGTCTGCTGGAAAACTAGGACAAAACTGATAGCATCTCAATGTAATCTAGGTCTAAATAGGTTGCTGCAACTTTTGCCGCATTCATTGACTTGTTCCCTTTAGGAACGGCAGGACAGATAAAGCTAGGTTGACCGGTCTGATATTGATTTAGCTTGGAAAGTATTACAAAATATGTGACGTTTAAAAGGGGTTAACTGGAGAGATCACAAATTTTTCCTCTTTCTGTTGCTGAGCAAATTTCTCAGGGTAACGGAGCAATTAAAAAGACAGGATTTAGATAAAAATGAATGGAATATCAAATCAACTATTTCAAAAATCATTTAAATACTAAATAAACTATGAAGAGGTTTAATGACACCTCCACAGGAATATTCAGATTTAGTATATTTGATCATTAACAGCCTCATAATAGGAAACAAACAAATGTATGCAGGGCAACACATAATCACAGTCGCCACAATCAGGCCCACCTGAGTCAGTTGTCATGGAAACTATTGATAGAGGAGAGGCCCCTAAAATCAACTCTCCAGCTATCAACTTGTGGCCAAGGCATAAGAAAAGGACTGTTTGTGTATAAATATCCAGACTTGATATTAAAGTTACATGAAACTTTTCCAATATTTTTTGTTTCTAATTGTCTTTTCAGCAGTGGATTGGCTTAGTTTAAACTGCTCCAGTAAAGGAATATAAAATGTCCCTGTGCTACAGATAAGGACAGAGAAATATGGAGCCTGAATCTTCTTCACCTGCTGTGCATCTTTGCTAGTGGTAGTTATAATTTAATTACAGTATGTATGGTAGGTACATTTGACAACTGGTTAACATCGTATAGTTTATAGTTATCGTAATTAAATTTCTAGTCATGATTTTGATTTAAATTAGAATTAGTGATGACTGAAAAATAAAATAGGGGATGAATTGTCAGAATCTTTATTCTACTTTATTTCTTCTGCATTTTTTTCCATTTGGGCATTTACAGCTTTATCTAATATGACTGTGGATACTTTTGGAGGTTGAGTGATACAAATTTAGACTTCTTTATGCAACTAATGTCCTAAAGAAGCCTGTTTGAAATTTTTAGACTTTCGAAAAGTAGTTTTAGTTTGTTTTTGTTTTTTTTGTCATCACTTCTATCATTATTTCAATAGTACCATAAAATTTCATAAGATTCTGAGTCTATGTTGGGCCTAGTTAACATTAATGGCTGAGCAGATTTGTAACCAGACTAACTATAAGGTTCTAGGGCGTGCAGGTGGCCCGGCGGTTAGCCCGCATGACCCTTGTACGGAGGCCTCGACGTGGCAGACTTGAGGCGACATGAGGCAAAGGACCACAGGTTCGAATCTGACCTGTGGTTCTTTGCCTCATGTCTCTCCCCCTCTCTCATACCCCCTTTCCTTTCAGCCTACCGTTGAAAAAAACGAGCCACTAGTGCCGTAAAAACTCAAGAAAAAACCCCAAAAAACGATAAGGTTCTCCCTCTCGGCTGCAACTGCAGGATGTGGATAAAAAAATAAAAAATTTCCTGCTGTAGAACCTGAGCTGCTAAATTAGGTCAACCGTCATAGTGGATGATTGAAATAAAAAAGTTTCTTAAAGCAATGTCATTTATATCTTTTTATTATGAAACTAAAAAAAAAAGAGAAAGATTTATTAATTATATTTGGATGATTAAATGGAGTTAAGCAACATCACCCAACCCACTGTTGTGCATATTTGACTGAAACTGCTTTCAATTGGAAATGCTCAGCCAGAAAAACAAGAAAATCCCAAAAATGGAACCCGTCTGACGACATGAAAGAAGTTCAAAGATCTCAGACACTCAGTACATTGTGCAAAGCAAAGTCCTGGAAGGTGTCAACTTTTCAAAAAAAGAACATTATTAGTTAGGCTCTAGATTATGTACCAGAACTTTGATTCAAAATGAACCAGAAAGTCCACCTCTAAACAAAAAACTGGATAAAATCAATTCTGCAAAGAGGGGCACCTGGATGTTTAAGAAGATTTCCAAGTGTAATAAACACATAAATGAATGGTTTACCGATATGGAGAACACAAACACTCCTTAGCTTAGTGGGCTAAGTTGACCTGAACACTTTTTTGAAACTGTGACAATTAAATCATGATTGGAAATCTGCTTTATTATTACTAAGGCTATCTTTATTGCATAGCAAAAAGATCTGAAACATTTAAGAATGAAAAATCGGGAAAAAAAAATATATATCTTTAAAAGGGGCAATTTCACAGCACGCTGTAATAAATGAAATTATTGCATCCCAGTCATCAGAGCCGTTGGCTACCTAAAGCCTCATCTTTTCTTTCTGCTTCCTCTGACAGCATTGTTGATGCACGTTGTGAACACCGGATCTCAATTTCTTGTTTAAAAAGACGACACGCATGTGAACAGCTTCTAAAAAAAAAACCTTAGCAGTGTCATCAGGGGTGCCGACATTAAGCAGCAGGTATTGAGTGAAACCGATGAGGCACTTCAGTGATGAAAACTTGAAAACTGTCCAAAGATACACGATAGCCACACTTCTAGCAAACATTAACACTTGGTTACAAGCTCCTATAAACTGAGTCATGTCAACAGCTGAGCATCTGGAAAATCTCCTGCTATTGGAAGGAGGATGAAGCCAGCAGAGCCTCACAGGAACTGAAAGTAAATCCCTACATCGGGGGAGCCACCGCTGCTCAACCTGACAAACAAATGTGACCCGCTTTTCAAAGTCGGTGAAGATTTATTTTTAGACGTGTGGAGACCAAAAACTGGAGCCGAGTTGGAGAACAAAGAGAACGGGCAAATAGAGAGACATTTGACCCAGAAAATATTCTCACTGGCTTTGGGAACCAGGTAAATAAATATAACATTTGATGAGAACTTTTGTAAAGTTAAAGCATCACAATAATCAGCAGTCGACGACTGGAAAATAGTAAAAGATTAAGGAGACGAAAAGGCACTAATTGGACGTCACAGGAAACATTTAGATCAAACTTTACTTACAGAGTTGACAAAATATTTAACTCTAACACCTCCCTGAATCATAAAAGAGGCAAAAAAGTCAATTTTTATATGTTCCCTTTAATATGTATACGTGGGAATATTAAGGTTTAAAGTATAAAAACTACATTAACAGTTTAATAAACTTTAAAATATTACTCAAAACAGCAATAATAAGATCAGTAACTGAGAAATAGTTGGCTTTAAATTGCTAATTTTCAGTTCATGTTCTTAGTTCATCACAAATGTTACTTTTTCAAAACTGTTCCTGTAAAGGAAATTAGTAGGTCAATGTCTTTTTTAACTCACCTGCTAAAGTGTAATCCATGTCAAAGCCGAAGCATTTGATTTTCTCCATTGCCAAGCTTCTATTGACAAAAATCCTGAAGATAAAAAAAGAAGAAAACATGTACGTTACATCATGATCAGTACCCTTACTGTCACGAAGAGCAGAAAAAGAGTTCCTTTTATTTTATTTCCATCATTGTGCGCAGAGAATTAAAAAAAAGTTAACTCAATTTAAATAAAAGAAAATGCATCCTTGTGAAAAGGTAAATTACATTTTGTTAAACTGTAGAGACTATTGGAACACATTAGACTACAGGAATGGATCTCTGCTAACTATTTCAAATTTGCAAGTTTAAGGTTTGCTCCTCTACTTGCCTTATACATTTTCTGGGCATGGTTTTATTACAAAATCCATGATAAAGTTGCTTATATTTACTGAAGTTAAGGACAAAGTGGGAAATGTAGGGTTTTCCGATAATTACATACCCTCTGCCTTTGCAGGCACAACATTTTTAAGCTGTTTTGCAGAGATTAAAATAAAAAACAAAACAAAAAAAAAACAGAACAGAACTGGTGCTGCGACACCAACCCTTATGGGGATATAAAGCAAATTACTTCAAGCACTGAAGGACATACTTGCCCTTAAAAAAAATACAATCCAACCATGTGGGAAGCCTGTTAATATTACGCACAATCTAAAAAGGAAAGCCATTTGAGACTAACAGAAATGTCGGTACATATACCAAAATTTGCAAACTAATTAGAATTCACTTTTCCCAATTAATTATTTTGTACCAGTGCACCGATTCATTTAGCATCACCACTTAAGTATCTGTACATTTCAGTAAATCATGGATAGGCAATTATATATCAATTAAAACTCTTGTCTTCCATTCTTTGAATGCACACCATGGTAGTGGTCTGTAAAGGTAACATGTTCTCTACAAAAGCCTCAACATCTATGATTATTGAAAAATAAAATTGAAATAAAATTGTGAAATTTATGCAATTTCCCTCCAAAGGGTAAGATTTAAATCTTGAGTTTTAAATCTGATTTCTTATATTTCAAAAAGAGAAAAGAATTAGTGAACATCTTTTTAATAATATTTTTATCATATTTCCTTATTATTAATATGCCTTAAAATGAGAGTAAACAATTAGACTCTTTGCTTAACAAAGTTTCAAACAAGCTGAATGGAGCCAATGTTTATATTGCCATGCCGACAAAGGACCCAGTTACACACTGCTAGCTTACCTGAAACAGAACTCAATATACAACTGCTTCCTTTCACATAAATCCAAAGAATTCAAACCCAAAACTTTCTAGAAATAAGACCTAAACCAGCTTCAGACAAATGGAACTGAGCCACTGAAATAAAGGCTTTTCTGGCACACAACCTCAGAGTTAATCTAGAGAAAAAAAATAAAATAATAATTCTTGCTGTTCTCCTCAGAATGACTGCATCCCAATGAATCCCAAACAATCTGTTGTGAAATACCTGGCAGCAGATCCATAGTGAACAAGCTCCCATTTAGAGTTCAGTCCAAGACACGAAGGGCAGTACATTCTGTGTGAAATTAAACCTTAGTTTGACTCTACGTTTGTCCGATGTGCTCCGGCAGCACAGTGAAGCTCTGGCACCCTGAACAATAACAACCCCTCCACATACGCACATACACCCCACTCCCTCTTTGCTTTCTTGTCATTCAGAAATTTTCTGTCTTGTTGCAAAACTGATTGTGGCCGTTCCGCGTCATTCTCTATTGTTGTCAGTGAGGGTTGTTGTTGTCGAGCAGTACGATGTTTGTGGCTCCCTCAAAGATATCTAGAACAATCCCAAGTCAGGCAGGGCCGCGAAGCAACAGCTGCTTACTGCTCAGATCACCCTCAGAATAAACACAGGTAGTGGCAGATTTCAGTAGCCATCTTGTGGACTCATTAAGTATTATTCTTAAATCAATTTATCACCTCAATATCAATGGATAAACCCAAAGGAACCAACAATCTTTTTATTACTTTATAAAATGAACCAATAAGACTTTTTCTCACTGATACAGATTTATTGCCTTTGTTTAAGCTGATAAACCCTTACTCTTTACAGTTAACACAAATAGTAATCATAATAACACTGTTATTATGATCTAAAAGATCAGAAATAAATACACAAAAACACAAAAGAACAGCCTGGACCAGTAATTTTCCTAGCCAGTACCATGTTTGTCTTATTTGTATTTCTGACCTTCCGCCTCCAGTTTTGATGGATTCTTTTTTTGTTCAAATGCGAAGGAATAAAAAGGGCTTTGACAGAGGTATTAGTTTTGAATCTAACAGAAAATGAAAGGATTATAGGATTAACCCTACTTTTGAATCAAAGCAAGGCAGTAGAGGCGCCGCTGGGTGGACGACAAATACAAGAATCAGGCATCAGTCGCAGCAGCAATCACTGTACGGCTTTTTTCCGGAAAATATCCGGCACTGCATGATATTCACCCGTCTTTGATCGGGAAAGTGCTGAATCAGAGGTCATCTTGGCTGTCACGCTGAACGCTCAGAGATTAGCAGTTCAGGCTTATGACCACAGATTTTTCTATGGGTTTGATTAAGATTGCAGATAAATGTGAAGGCTAAACTGCTTATCGCTTTCAATCAGAAAAAGATGAACAAATAAAAAAATCAAAGGTAGAGTGTTTATGTTCACAGTTTCTAAGTGCAGAGGGGGCAGAAGCCATTCTAAGCCAATGACTTAAATCCAGAGCTTTGCTATTTTTATGGGTATGACATCAAATGTGTAACCTTTGACTGGATGGCAGAGGGAGGCAATGAACGCCCATTAATGATAACCCCAGCTCCACCTTAACTAGACAAGAGATATGGGCGTTCTGATTGCTGTAGTCAGCCTCGATTTTGGTCACGTTGACGACGCTGCACAAATATCCCCAATGGGCCACGCCGAGTATACAAGAGAAGCCCTTAATTACTTTAACTCCAAATGGAAGCAGCTGTGGGACAACCGGCCGGATTCTTTCCACTGCTCTCTAATCTCACACAGACGGTGTTTGGACTCTGGGAAATAGAAAGTTTTATCCGCCCTCTGTGATGTGATGTCTCAGGATAGCACTGAGTCTTAGAGAGGACCACCGTCCAACTGTGTGATAAACAAACGACTCCATTTACATAAAGGGCTAAACTGATCAACAACTTCTAACACAAATGCATTATCTCAGCAAGGAATTGTTTTGCCAACACGTGTGGCGGTTTGTATGCATGTGTTTGAAATAGGGGGGTGGGTTGTCATGGACTGGGCGACCTTTACCCTAACAGCACACATAAATCCATCAGATTACTGACGGGTTTATAAAGCCTCTGAGGACAGCATATGATATGATGGCAAGGCAGAAAAACAGCAACCATTGTCCCCATGGCTGTGAGTTAAACATTAAACAGCCACTTACAGTAGAATACTGTACCCTTGAATGAACTCTTCCTTATTTCTGACGGATTTTTACAGCAGGGTGGTTCCCCATCAGCGTATACAGAAATAAGGACTATTTGATAAAGCAAGAGATAAAGAAATGCATTGGATTTAACTGCAAGCAAAAAAACAAAAGATTCATTTGTTGACTATGAGCGAAGTTTTAATTCATGAATTCACTTTCTGGAAATAACAGAGTGAACATGCAGTCAAAGGAGGCAAAAATGATTGTGTTTTACAGAAGGCAGACAAAAAGACGAAACTCGTACCACGAAGGTCTGCCTTGACAGCATGGATTTGAGAGTAGCTTTGCTGTCAACATATTATTATTAAGAAACTTGTTTGTCTTATTGAATTTGAAACACAAAATAGGCCAATAATCCTTCATCAGCTGTTTCTCTCGTGTCTGCTCACATGCTGATGAATTCCCCCATCATCATTCAGTCATTCATTTCTGCAGAGGCCTGGCAACAAGCCACTCATTTGAGAGAGGGTTGAAGGATACTAGCGCTCAGAGACAGGAGTTAGGCAGTTCTGTTTCATGCCAATTATTTTATGACCTAAAATTTTAAAACACCTCTGAAATATTTTTCGAATTAACAATGACAAGACCTTGTCTCCGGCCTAGCTTAGCTGTCTCGTGTTTAAGTTTACCCCGTTGGATTAGCGTTGCGTTCCTGCGCCTTTCGGCAGTGAGGGGGTATGTGACTCATGTCTCAGGCTATGGGACCCCATGGAGGAAAAACTACTAGTTAGTATAAGAGCAACTCTGGTAAACTGTTTGACGCCTACAGAGGGCCTAGCAGTGCTTCACTACCACTGTCGGGAAGCTGCTGAACTTAATAGAGAACATTGTAGGATGGTGGGAGAAATACTTTGAGGAAATCTACCACGCCTTCCGTGGTGGAAGCAGAGATTGAGTACTCTGTGTAAGTTTCCCAAGTAGTCCTTGTCGGTCAGTCCGCTCCAAATTGTTCCAATCCGTGTAGAGCGAGTTTCTTGACAAATGTAATTTCCTAAGTACCGTAATAAAGCCATAAGCTCAACGCTCTTTTACCCTCTGTAATCTGCTTGATGGTAAAAAAAACAAAACAAAAAAACAAATGGGTTCCTCTCTGTTAGGTTCAAGCATTTACTTTAAAAAGAATAATAAAATAAATTAAACAAACAATACAGGTATTATATTTCCAAAAAAAATGAAATTATTAAAGAAGCTTAGGAGAAAAACTGTGTGGCTCCACTCCAATTACCTGACCAAAACTGAAGCAGAAGCCACTCCCCAAAACATCCACAAACTGTGGACATTTGCAAAAGAACCTCAGTACAATTAGAAATATTGAATATCCTTACATATGAGAACCTTTTACTTTCTGATATTTACTGTATTTTATTAATGATTTCTTTTTATCTTAACTTAAACTGAATTTAGGCTCCTGGAAGCGGAGTTAGACATGTTCATCACCCTGGGTGAGGTCACAGAGGTGGTCTAGAAAAAACCCATTGGGTCAAGGCTGTCCTGACTTCCTTAGGTCTCTGGGTGTTAGGCCATCATGCCTCTTCAACATCACTTGGCGGTTGGGGACATTGCCCGTGGACTAGCAGACTGAGGGGGTGATTCTCCTCCATATGAAGGGTGACCAGAGGATGTGTTCCAACAATAAGGGGATTGCACCTCTCAGCCTCCTTGGGAATGACTATGCCAGTCAGGGTGCTGGAGAGGAGAGCCTGGCTGATTTTTAAATCTTGGCTTTAAGAGAAGCAATGTGGTTTTTGTTGCAGTTATGCAACAGTGGACCAGCTCTGCACCCTCTACAGGACACCTGGGGGTTTGTAGGAGTTTGCCCAGCAGTTTTTTTTTTTTTTTTTTATCTGTAAGGTGGACTTGGAGAAGCCAATCGACCATGTCCCCTGTGGGGGCACCATAATGGGGTCACTGTACAAGTGGAGCAGGAGCCTGGTCTGCATTGCCAGCAATAGGCCAGACCTTTTCCTGGAGCATGTTCGACTCCGCCAGAGCTGCCCTCTGTCACTGGTCCTGTTCATAACATTTATAAACAGGATTTCTTGGAATAGCCAGGGTCCAGGGGGGTTCTGGTTTGGCAGCCGGAGGATTTCATCCCTCTGACGTGGTTCTGTTGGCTTCCTCCCGCCCACACCAACAACATGCATTGGAGCAGTTTGCAGCACAGTGGGAAGCAACCAGGACGAAAATCAGTTACTTCAAGGTTGAGGCCATGGTTCTCACGATACTAAACTTTTCAACGCGATACCGATACTAATGAAAATATTCGATACT